ATGTTAGAAGAATATTTATTAAAAAATTTTTTTTTTTAAAAATAAATTCAAATAAAAAATTTTTAATTGTCATAACCTTTAATTATGGTAATCACCGTATTGGAAGGATACTATTTGGACTAAAACATTATCACCAACTTATGACGATTATACTAAGACATTTACTTTTTTATTTAATAATCCTGATGATAATGTCAGTAGCCCTTTCAATAATGATAAATTAGTTTTGTGAAAGGAAAAGTAAAGATATGCCATTTCATTATAAACTTGGAGCTGAATTAGGAGATTTAACTTTTTCAGAATTTGTAAATAATATATATATAAATATGAATTCGATCATCGAGTAGCGTAAGTTTTAAACGGGAGATCAAAGACGATGATGAAGGTAAAAGTATTATTTGCATAAAACTTTATAGTTTTACCATTGAAGCATGGAAGCTTTGCTATATTTTGGATGGTCTTAAATTTAACATGTATGTATTTTTTTATTTAACATATGGAATATTTATATTTTAGTTCATCTATATTTAAAAATTTTAATCATATTCTACTTTGTAGTGACATTTCATCTTTGAAGAAAGGATTTAGATATGATAGGATGGATTGGTAGGATGATTTTTTCAGTGATTGGAATGTATTGGTGAGAGTATTTGAAAGTACGTATTTATAGAGTGCAAATATTATGAGTAGGAACTTATCTACACTGTACATTTAGAAAAATTACATAAAGTGTGCATTTTATGAAGGTTTACATTTTGATAAATGAGATCAAATTATTTGCTCTCACTTTGGCAGTCGTCGAAATAGTAAGGTTTTTTTTTCTATGTCCCTAATTCTTTTTTAAAAAGATTCACAAAAAGACTTTAATGGTTTAATATTTGTAATAATAAATTTTTTATACCATGAATTTGAATATACTCGATTCGGGACCTATTGTTCTGACTTAGAATAAGATTATCCAACTTTGGAATTCTTGAGTTACACGATTTGACAATATAATAATAACAGCAGAATTTTGTAGGCTGGAGCCTTACGTATAGGCTCTAAATTTAAATCAGTTTTTTTTATCTATATTTTATTTAAATATAGGAATAATTAGTAATTGAATTTTGACCGGGCTAACTTAATTTAACTCGAGTAAGTAGTTAAGTCAATATTTTCTAACTCGAGTTATATTTAAAATTCAGTTAACTCAATTCGAATTGTTGTGTACTGTATTGTATGTTGAATACCAATTAATATTTTTTACTGCGTTTCTCAAATTTTATGAAACCACAAGCGTCGCCGAAAATCAGAGGAGCAATCACAATATTTAATTAGGTTTTTTTTTCTTTTTTAGAATATAGTTCTTTCTGTTTGATATTTTACCTACACTTTAGAAATCTATTTCGGTATCAGCCGAAATTAATTCATGTTTTATAATTTGTCAAATAACTCGGTAATCAAGGATACAAAAAGTTATCAAGTTATCATGATTGTCATGAACTAGCAATTGTTTTTTTTTTTTTTTAGAAAAAAACTCTAAAATTTGAAGGCCTCCCGGAGTGCTTTAGATCGGAAAACATTAACTGCTCCCTCGATTGTTGGCTTTTTTAGGTACAGCTAAGGATGATAAAAAGGCATTTTTGAGTGGTATTTGAAATTCGATATTGATCGCAAAATAAAGATTTGTGAACGGAATTTTCATTTGGTGACTCAGATTATAACTTTGAGTAAGAATTCTTTAAAGCGTTAATATAAATGTTAGGTATGATATTATTAAATAAAATAACCGTAGTTGCTTCTGATGACTTCAGGTGACTGATTCGCACCTCATCTGATGATGAGGCAATAATCAACATCTGATTGTGGACAATCTACGGACAATTCTTAGGGTAGTTAGCCGTTTTAGTATGTGAATTTGCACTGTCCTTACTGTCCATAAGTACTGTCCGTAGATTCAGCGCAAAATATATAGTTAAAACCTGGAACATCATGTTGTAGTGATGATATTTTGTGATTTACTAAAGGCTGTTCTGAGCTTAGACGCACATATGTAGTGATCCAAATCGAAAATCAACTAATCGTTTAGTTGATTTAGTTGACAACTAATTATTGCGGTTTGCAAAAAAATGTGAAATTTGTAGATCAAAAAAAAAAAAAGTAATCGATGATTTCTGATTCTGATTGCCGATTTTTTTACCATTTTTTTTGCAGAAATAAAAGTTGTAGATTCATAATTTTGTAA